GAGGGAGGCATCTATTCTGGCTTGGGGATTCTCAGCTGTGCTGTGAACCAACCTCCTTTAACTGACATCTCGAAAGCCAGCCCCAGTTTTCCCTGGAGAAAAACCCCTCCGTTATCCCTGACATCTTTGTGGTCAGGGCACAGATGCACAAAACCTGTTGCGAGGTCCCTGATCTAGAGTGGGGATCTTGAATTTGTATCTCCAGCATGGAAGTTCGACTAACAGATTTGGCCTCTTTTTCATTACATACTTAAAAGGAGCAGGAGCCTAAACCTGACTCTCCAGCACTGCAAGCCATCACCACTGGGATATAGAGCCAACCTGTCTTTTCTTCTCCCTTGGTGGAAAATTGTGTTGTAGCTGTGACAGTTCAGCAATATTCAAGTTTAAGAGCTTAACTACTTCTACAGACCATAGTCATTTTGGTTTAGCTATGTTGTCTGGGGCACAGGGAAGACAAGATTTGTACACAGAGGTAAGACCTTCTGTTTCGAAGTTGAAGAAAATTAGAAACAAGGCAGGCCTTGTTTACTTATTTCTGATTGTATCAGATGGTGTAAATAAAATGTAACTTGGAAAGCTTGTCTTGTCAATAGAGACTGTGGGCATAAGCTAAGCACTGGCCTCACAAATGGAGTTTATTCTTGGATTTAGGAATGTGGGTGAATACGCTCAGAATCCTGTATGAATCTAGCCTATTCTGGTGCCGCAGCCCACTTCGTTGTATGTATAATGCCATGCCATCAAATTATTGCCATGCAATGGCTTTTTATCACATATTAGCTAGCAAAGGTCTAAGAAAGTATTTAGGTTTTCTTCTCAGCTGTGCCTGTGAACGAATGATGCAAGTATGTAAACTATAGCTATTTATTACAATTTAGATTGCAGAAATGTTAGATATTGCAGTTTTTTAATAGAAGTAGTTTTGCTGACAGTGACTTTCATCTTTTTCCATGAGTTCAAAAGTTTACCAGTACTACTTATTTCAGAAAGCTGTGTGCTTATTCTCAAAGCATCACTGTTCCTGATGTTTCACAGTAGTTAAGATGAATCATTGCTAATATATTTAAATATAAAGACACCTTACCACATTGATTGCAGGACTCTGGTTAACACGATATTTAGTTTTCAAAACTGTTGAGATTAAATTTATCAAAGACAACAAATTAACTAGTGCTTGGTAAAATACGTGTTGTTTTTTTTTTTTCCTAAAGATTGTTGTATTTTTATTACATTGTACTAGAAGGAATTGGAAATACTCTTGGCTGCTTTAACACTTTAAATGTTCCTGAGCTTATACGCTCTCTAAATAAACGTGCCACATTAATACAAATTACGTTTCATAGATTCAGGTAAATTCAGACCTGGTGTAATCAGATAGTTCTGCAAATTTGCTTGGAAGTTTTGCTGAAATAGAAAAAGCAGGGAAAAGATTTTCTATCTAGTTATTTCTGCATAAAGCTATTTTGGGCTGTCTACCTTTCAAATTCCAATCCTCAAGTCAGGCTAAAGTGGTGCAGGTCTCCTTCCTGGAATTATGGTGAAATAAGACTGCTTTGGCTGTTTGGCTCAACAGTCATTATGCTCAGGCACTGTTTATGACTGGGTATGCTCCCAAGGGGCTGGTGTCTCTTACTCATCCCAGTCTAAGTTACAGTATTACCACAAGAGTTCTCAGCATCTTAAACCTATTACCTGATTTTGGGGAGGTTTTTCCTACATGTATTTAGTTCCAAGTTATTTTTGTTGTGGCCTTAAAAATCCCCTCTAGGCCACTGACTCTTACAGTAATCAAATAATGGAAAGTGTTTCAAAATAAACTGCATTGTTCTATGATCCTGTTAGCTCCTTCTGATGCTGTTAAAGCTTCAGAAAAGAGAACTTTTGTAAAACCAAAGGCATTACCAGAAACCTTCATTATCTGGGCAAATTATTCTTAACTTCTCATACTGGATGCCAAACAGCCTGGCTGATACAAGCACTGGCTTTTCTGAGCTGATCAGGATTGCTCTGGACCAAGGAAATACAAGACTATCAGTATAATCTTGCTTTGCTCATTCAGTGGGTAGTCCTACTGAAAACTGTAAATAATGTGAACAGGACATGATCCCAAATTAGCACTTTTTATTTTTTGAATTAAAGAGTGTTTCTAAAGCACTGTATAAGGCTTTGTGCTTTTGCAGGCAACTCAACCATGTATTTGCATTGATAGAAAATATTCCTATAGATACATTTGTTTTTTCTTAACTGAAAGATGGCTTAGAAAAATTCAAACAGATAAAGCTGTGATTCATGGACCAATAAAAGACTGGACTCTTCTGTATGTTGCTTCTTGTCTAGCTGTTTCAAAAGCAGTTTTTAAATACCTTCAGTCAGCTTAGAGCAAAGCAATTTATACTTTGCCCATGTGATACATGATTCCTTGAATGGGCTGGAGCATGGAGTCTTTGGCAAAATTGAACTGTGTAACATTTTTTCTTCATTTTTTTCCAAGTGTATTATCATTTTGGTAATCTCTATTTTTTGTTGGAAATATTAGCTCCAGATGAAGTATTGTAGTAATTTGTAGTTTGCTTCCAACTTGGAAAATACTATTTTAGTCTTGTGGGGGGAAAAAAAGAATTAAATCTCTTTAAACCTTGCTCCCCTGAAATAAATTAACCCTAGGTTCTGTATTTGTTCTTACTAGGAAGGATGCATTCTGAAAAAGCTAAAGTAACTGTAGTAGAAATGGAAAAGAACCCTTTTGTTTTTCAGTCATCTTTACAATCACCAGCATAATGCTGAAAGGTTATTAGACAACTGGTGTTTTCAGGCTAGCATTGATTGCTGATGTAAGAAACACACCCCATACAGACCTGATGAATTAGTCTTTGAGAGTGTCACTTTTCTGACCTTAGTGGTCTCTTTAAGGGTTTTGCTGATTTCTGCTGTAAACAGTGAGCTGCTAGAACTTAAAGCAGCTCAATTTTGAGAACAGTGAAGCCTTCTTTCCAGGGGACAAAATTTGGTATCTCTAAAGGGAAGGTACACAGGCCCCGAGTCCTTCATTGATTTCAATGGTATTGCACCATAGGGCACTAAATATGACATGTTTTTACTGTTGAACTGAAGTGGGTGATCACTGGTGCTAGGATTCCTGTTAGGGAAAAGGGGTGCAGTTAGGCTGCAGCTGCCTGCAGGACAGGAGCTCGTGCTGTTAGGCAGGGTGGGAGCAGGTCCTGACTGGAATCCTTTGCCTTCCATGGATCCAGCAGTTCAGTGCTTTCCTTGTTAAAAGGGGAACGTTGCTCAGCATCTGCTGAGAGGGGAACATAATTCTCTTCACGCCTTAACAGTGGCTGAAACACACAGTACTGTAAGATGCACTGCCAGCATATTTGGTATTTTAAGATAAATACAGTTTTTCCTTAGAGATCAAATTCTAGTATTGAGTCTTACTGTAACCAGTTTACTCTTGCGTTGTTTTGGAAACCAAATCCTAGCAGAATCATCTTTCATATTGAACGCTGCTTTGGAGAGTCATTATCTTCATTTTCCAGAAGGTATTGTCTGTGACAGTTTGTACTCCTGCCTTGTGGACTTGCTACAGGCTCAACTTGTACTTTCCTTCCATGTTCATTGACCTGCCACTCATACTGGTGGATGTAGTAATACCTACTGGACTTCTAGAGATCGGGTTTAAAAACTTGCTGCTATATTTGGAAACCTGATATGGGTCATGTTAATTGTGCCTTTCATCACTGTTTCTTCTGTGTGCCGGAGTTGTCCATGTATATTTGAAGTGGTCATTAAAATAAATCTGTTCTCAATTTCTTTCATAAAAGGAGGGAACAGTTCTGTATCTACAGTCAGTTGTTGCTTTACCATCGCAACACTACTAAGATCTGTACTTCCACGCAGTCCCAAGGCAAGGTATTCCAATATTATTCTTACATAAAACTGCTTTTTGGTGTCACTTAAAACCCTCATAATGTAGAGCTTATGCCAGTACGTGCAAAATACCTGCAGTAAGAGTTATGCTAAATAGACTTGTTAAATTTAAGCTACAGAGATGTACAAGTAACTTGTTTTTAGGAATGTACTGCGAAGTATTTGAACAAAATTGCTAACATGTTTACTGTTGTAAATATTTTAATAAAAAAAGGACACTTCAAACTTTTTTACACAATTATCTACAATAAAGAGAAATTTACAACCATTTACAAAATGTTCTTAACTTCTTTACTGTCAAGACAGCTAAGATAAAAACAAAATAAACATTAGATACATGAAGTCCTGGTTTTATTTCACTCTGTATTTATAAAAGGAACAAAGCATCTTGGTGAAGTTCCATCCACATGCCAGTGAGATCAAATAGAGCATGATGAGAAGTGCAAATGGATACAAAAGAATAGCTGTGTTCTTCAAAAAGGGCAATGCTGAAACAGAAGCAACAATGGAAGCAAGTATAAAGCAGTGCTCTTTCAAAAAAAGGTGCTTCCTGTAGCATGGCCTTGGGGGAAGACAGATAGATAGCAAGAAAAAAATAGTACTGCTCTGCCAGCCTTCTCAGAGGGGTGGGTTTGTCATCTCTGCCCTACTAGTCCTACCATTATCACAGATTAAAGAGTACTTGATAACTGGTATAGGTAATGCCCTGGGAAACTGTTTTACCTAAAACTCCAATCTTAAACTCACTACAGCATTTTTATTCAAGGTGAACACTTTGAAGTGGATTTACAGAGGAAGAAGAAAACCAAGTTGCAGTGCTACAGGTCTAATACAAGAAGGGAAGTTGGTATGGTGAAGAATACAAATTCTTTGGTTAAGATGTCCACCCAGCTGGAAACATGGATTAGCAAATTTCTATCAAACTTCTTTTACCACAAAGAAGGAATTACTTCAACAGCCAGCTGAGCCTCTGCTTTACAAATGAATAGACTAAGATCAAATTAATAGGTTGAAATCGTGCCCTTGATTTTAGTCAAACAAAGAAAAAAGAAGTTGCTGTTACTCACCACTGTATCCTAGAAATGTCACATAGATGTAATAGCCGATTGCAATCAGCCATAATGTATTCCCAACAAAATACCCAATGACAGAATCAGATATGATGACATCTGCAAGAGACAACTACTCTCAGCTGTTTTGACAGAGCATGATTTTGAAGCAGAGAGCACAAAATATTCTACTTACAGTTGATGAAAAACAGCTGGATAAAATGCAAAATGACTAGAAGTGGATAGAAAGCATTCAGATGAACATCAAAGGCATATCCCCACTCCACATCATAGTCTCTGTTCTGCTGCTTCACCAAGTACTTATTAGAAATGAACCTACATGAAAAGATATTTAAGAATGTTGTTAATGTGAATCTATAAAGCTGACTGACAAAACATTGGTTTGAGATAGATAGTAAGCCAGAAGCAATCCTAACTCTCTAACCTGACAAAGTTTCTGCTATATGGGAGAAAAACATGCAAGAATTATGCAGACCAGACTTATCATTAAAACATTTTTGTTAAAACTGTAATTACAACCCTTGCATTCAACAGGCAGTTGAAATACACTGCTGGTAATACAGAAACAATTTTTTTTTTTTTTTTTTTTTTAAAGATCAGTGTTACAATTTTATCGATGCAGTTACAAGTTCTCAGGCAGCATGCCATTTTTGTTTGTACACACTCACACAGATGACTTCAGAAAAGTGCTTGTACATGATCAGTACCTCTCGCACAGAAATGGTTTATTTCACCCCTACAGAAGTGGCACACTGCGAGGACAGAAAGAGAGCAGGCTAGCACTCTTAAGATGAGCCCATTCTCCTTACTGAAAACAAGCGCTAATGGAAGACGCACTGCCTGGTGTTACAGACTACGGAACAAGCCTCGAGACTTCGTTTTCTTCAGCTGAAGTTCCACTGACAGACATCCCCTTTAGAGGAGGAACAAGAAGTCAATATACACTCAGAAGTAAGACTTTAGATACCAGAGCATTCATGGTAGCTTCCTCTGACATGCTCTTTGCGCTAAGTGCAGGGTCGGAAAGAGGCAGAGCCTGTGTGCAAGGTGAAAGCAAGAAGGGGTTTAGACTCATTAGGAATGGGGGGAGCTTTTGAAAACAAAAAGGTGAGCCTGCACTGGAAGAAGAGACTTGGACCGAATTGGAGCCAGGCAAGTGGTATTGAGGCCTGCAGGAAGCCGACTACAGGACAGAGGAAAATCAGCAGATGCTGAAGTTTGTCTGGGTCAGGAGACTGCATCCTGAATCACAGATTGCTGGAGGATGGCAGGGGAAAGCATTACGATATGCTCTTCCCTGAGCAATTTATGAGTTGCTGTCCCAGGCAGGAGAGTAGGTCAGACTCTCTATCTGACTCTATCTTTCATCTATCAGCTACAGTTCTTTTATGTGCCCCATCCTAAATTTTGCAATTAGAAGTGGGAGTTCCCAAGGTCACTGTTTGAAAGGAATCTACCCCTTTTCCGATCGGCATCAGTTTGTCAGCTCCATTGCTAAGAACTCTTTTAAGTACCCTTGCTTCCTTAAGTTCTTGGTAAAATAAAAATTCTTTCTTTGGTGCCCTCCCCTTGCCATAGTGCAGAAACAGTGACTTCCCGTGGTTCCCTTGCTGGCACAGAACACATCTCTAATGTGCTGATGCCTAAGCTATAAACTGACTCGCTATTGCCTCTCCCCTTCTGTAAGCCTCTGGATGTTTCAGGCTAAGACTGGCAGCGACTACCACCGAAGCAACACAGCCAACATGCGTGAAATAGAACAGACATTGCTTGTAGTGGAAACAGCTAAAATCTTCAGCAAGAAGCATGGGCCAATTGTATATTGCCCTACTTAAACATAATCATCCTCAGGCTTACATTACTTAAGCTGTTCAACCAAAATAAGGAATGAAGAATTTTTTGATCACCACATTTTTTATTTAGCATAATTGCTGAAGATTAACCAGCTCAAGAAGAAAACAAGCCAAAATGCTCATCATAATCCAGACTTTCTGAACACTCATCTTTTGCAGGAAATAGTAAAGAAAAAGATGTGTTCTTTTTTAAAGCAACATTTTGAAACAGTTACCCCAACAGCACAAAACCTATAGTCAATACATACTTTATAATTTTGCCCCAAACAGAGAACCAAGTGTCTTGCAAACAGCAGAGGACTATCCTGTATCCAAACAGCAATACTGAACTCAGTTTCAGACATCACTACTTACCACATTAGAGTTGCAATCAGGAGGCCAACGCCTACACAGTCTATGAATACAACCCAAAGTAGCAGCTTTATTGTTTCAAAAAAACCCATGTCCAGCACAAATCCAAATCCTACAGTAGACACTGAAGGGAGAAAAAGATTATTGAAGTTAGCTGTGGAAAAGAAAGCATGAGATCTTAAACCAGTATGGGTTTTGAGTATACTGTTACAAAATCTCCAGTTTCCTTATTATTTTTCTCCACAAGATTTTCAGTCCGACAGCTCAATTTTTTTCACCAAAGACTAGGTATAATGCAATTTATTCATAATGTAATCCCTTTCACAGATTGGAGAACACTCATCTGTACTTGGGCTTAATGATATAACAGCAAATTGTATTACTCCGCGCAAACTATTTTTAAAGAATTCACACAATGCCACAATAGAATATTCTTTGTGTTATAAAAGCTCCTTGTGACCCAAATCATGTGTGTGGTGATACATACTTTCATTGCAGAGTTAACAGTTTTGATATTACTAACAGCAACGTGCTACGTAACAGAAGACTAGAATAATGCTTCTTACTGCGTTTTCAATTCAATCAAAAAATTACATGAGACACTGTGTTTATAGCTTAATTCTGCAATATACAGAATCTCACCAGGGTCTTTATTGTAAAAACAGTATTTTTTCCGTAATGTTCAGAAGAAGGAAATGTTCGGTATTTTTTAACTAAAGCACTGCTGTGTGGCATAGGTTTTTATTCCTGTCTGTAAAGTTACAAAGAACTATGTAGTTTGAAATGCAACAGAAAATGCGTTGCAATAGAGAGGTTCATTCAGGACTATTAGCATTAGTTACGCCTCCTCTGTTTTCTAGTTTTCACCTTAAATTTCTTGTATGCTACTTTGATTAAAAGATAATCCATGTGGATTTTTTGTCCTTTTTGTGTGTGTGTGTGTGTGTGTGAGATTAGGGGGGCCAGGAATGTTCATCCCTAAACTCTCCCTCCCTCTCTTTTATGCTATTCCCCTGCACTCACCGCAGAGCCAGATACTGAGAAGCACTAAGAAAGCAGGATCATCTCTTGCCCATTGGTCCTTCGTCTGTTTTCTGTAGTGAAAGTTCCTATAAACCCTCTGTGGTGAAGTAAACAGGTAAAGCATCTGCCAAAGAGCAAACTCGAAGTCCATCTGTCGGAAGTGGAAGAGCCTCCGCAGGTACTTGTAGCGTTTTGCCCCAGCTGTGTGCCTCGCAGCATCTCTGGGACTCAGCGCACCGTTGCCCTGGCTCCGAGAATTAACTGACGTGGTTGGCAGCATCTTGCTGAAGAAGGGATTTCGAAAAAGAGGCATTTGAAAATAAAATCACGCGACGCGGGCCACACCTGCGACACTGACGTTACGAACCCCCCCATCCCCCAACCCCGTGCAAGTACACACCGCGGCTGCGGGGGAGGCAGCTCTGCTCCCCGCACCGCCCCTCAGGCGGCCCCGCGACCTCGCCCCCGTCTCCTCAGCCCCACGGGGCCGCTCCCGGGAAGCGGCGGGCTCTCTCCGGGCAACCCCCCCCCACACACCTCTTCTGACGATCGCAAACGCCGTTCGAGGCCTTGACGGCCGACGGGCTTCACGGCAGGCGAAGGGCCGAGACGCGCGGCCAGGGGCAGGGGAGGGATGACCGGCCGTCCCCGATCGGCCTTCGGCCCACGCCAGCCCGCCATCGCCCGAAGGGACCCCCGCCGCCG